CAGTCTATGCTTTGAACGTATCTGGGCGCCTTGATACATATGCACAAATCAATAATGTAATCTGTATATAACAACACAAACTGTCTACGTTGTTGACATGCGCAGACTGAACTTTCGGACGAATCCAGTGTCCGGGACGAATCCAGCAGCCACACTCATGGTTGTTGCTGGTCCCAGCAGGCCAAGCATGTTACAATTTAACGACATAATGACCTATCCAGTGGGGGCGGGTCCCGCCTCAAAAGTGGCCAAAATGACGGGCGCTGACATGCTTGCAATACCACACCGCGTAGTTTAAAATATCCACGTCCTTTGAAATAACAGCCATTTCGAGCCGCGTACTTTTTATAAGTGCAGCTATGCGTTCTACTGGATCAGAGCTGAGACAGCAAGTGTGTCTGTGTGTGCGTGCGTGTGCATGTGTGCGTGCATATGTGGCGCGTGCGGCATGAAAGTCGGCCCGGAGTTTACTAATACATTGGCGCACACAGCTAGAAACGGACCCGCTCGTCAAACCGTGCAAATGGGGCTTAAAATAGCGTTATTAAGAGACCCTCCCTCTCCCCCTTTTCTTTTTTTTTAACTGACAGCTTTGACCGGTTAACGCTGTGACGGTCTACCACCGGTTAAACTGTCACCGATTTACATCCCTAATTCAATGCAAATGTACGTATCTTCTGACATCTCAAAAACGTCTTTACATGCTGGTCCAAAAGTCTGCTCTTGGCCCACAGCTCCGTTCCACATGTGTGTCAATGCTGAGGGGAGTGAATTTTTTTGGACCAGTCTAGTTTACTCGCTGTGAATTTTTAAAGTCACTCGTTTACTAAATGAAGGGGGCCCGTGCCGGCTGACGCATGCACAGATGCATTTTTTTCACATTTTCCAGCCCCCGCGGCCATTTTGAATCACTCCATGAAAGCCCAATTTTTTGCCCATTAGTTAGAACGGCGGAGATGGGCGTGACATCGTCTGTTAATATTTACAGTCTATGGACCTATCGCTATATGCCGGTATAACAAAAATCTCTATCGTTGGCCAAATTTTTATTGCATACAGTTTATATTGTCCAGCCCTAATTCTAAACTAGGACTTGACCAGGATTGACAATGGGGGACACAATAGTTGTTCTCATTCAGGCTCTAGTAGTGACTAAACTAGCACAGTTAGCGTTAGCGTGTTCGCCGATGCAGAAGTACCGTTTAATAATAAAATAAACTTATGACGCACCTCCGTGAACACATACTGCTGTTATTTAAGGTCTCTGGACAAAGAGACGCTGCAGAGCTGCATTATTGGCAAGAACTGTACACAAAAAGCCTTTTTACTTCCGCCACTTCCGGCGGTGGTCTTTTAAAAATAAAAGTGTATTTCTCTTTGAAAAGGTGTACCTGCATCATTATCATTGTATTAGATGAAAATGATAATGAAATGAAATGAGCTTTGGGTAATGACCGAAAGAACGAGATCGCGGATACAAGCGGTCGAAATGAGCTTCCTCCGCAGAGTGGCTGGGCGCTCCCTTAGAGATAGGGTGAGGAGCTCAGTCACACGGGAGGAGCTCGGAGTAGAGCCGCTGCTTCTCCACGTCGAGAGGAACCAGTTGAGGTGGCTCGGGCATCTGTTCAGGATGCCTCCTGGACGCCTTCCTGGGGAGGTGTTCCGGGCACGTCCCACCGGGAGGAGGCCCCGGGGAAGACCCAGGACACGCTGGAGAGACTATGTCTCTCAGCTGGCCTGGGAACGCCTTGGGGTCCCCCCGGACGAGCTGGAGGAGGTGTGTGTAGATAGGGAAGTCTGGGCGTCTCTGCTTAGACTGCTGCCCCCGCGACCCGGCAACGGATAAAGCGGAAGAAAATGGATGGATGGATGGATAGATGAAAATGATCTCAGAACGACAATACTTTCGCCTATCGCAATTATTTCTGAGACAATTAATCGTCCAGCAAAATTTGTAATTGTGACAGGCCTAGTGTTGGCACATTCCCATGAGCCTCCTGTACAGTTTGTTGACTGATTTTACTTAAATCAGGAGGTAATAAGGAGGTTTTACCTGTAAAAGTAATCTGAGGTGGATTTATTCAGAAAATAACCAGTGCTAGGGGATTTTTCAAACACACCTTTTGCATATTTGGTCTGGTTATACATAAACCATTAATACATGTAAAAAATATATATGATATTTTATGTATTCACTTTTTTTAGATAATGTCGAGACTTTTTTATTGAAGTCTAGACATTATAGATCATTTTGGACCTTTTGGGTTAATTGTTTTGAGAAAAATAAATTTGTTTAAATGAGGTGGTTTTCCTGAGGAAATTGGCTTTGAATGTGGTCTAACATAATGCCATAGTAGCCCATACTAAGTTGTGTAATAAACTAATTACTATATTATAATATAGCAATAGTGAGGTAAGCACACATCAGTTAATTTCATTGTAATCAAATGGCTTCTTTGATAGTTCATGCTTTAATAGGCTAGAGCAGGGTATATAGCCCTTATAGGAGAACCAATGAAAAATTAAGTTAATGGATGCATGTTCCTGTTACTGACCAGGGGCTCTCACCATGTTGTAAGGATAGGGCTTACCAAAAATATATAGTAAAAGTGTGTTCAGGGGTGCCCTTGGGGCCTCTTTTCTACAGTTTCCTAGCATGTGGACCATGTAATGCTGATTGCAGCTATATTTTACATATTTGTTTATAATCAAAGGCTAACTATTTTTGCATAATAGTTCGGTTAATAAATAAATAATACATTTGGTCTTGTCCTTTGACTTGAAGACATTTTAAAGTGGCTTGAAGGACTTGTCACCACTCTGGGTTCTGGGAATTAATGTGTAGGTTAAGCTGTTTCAAAAGGCTCTTTATATAGAGCTCCTGGACAATTGGATAATTTGGGTTTAACAAGATAGAATTGTCTCAGTCTAACTTGTCTGTGTGTATGTTTGCGTAGGTCTTTTGGTAATTTGTCCTATAAATACCTGTACCGGTTTTTGTAAGACCCTATTAGAAAATTGGCAGTATGCAGTTTAGCTCAAAATCAGAGATTCCAGCCAAGGTATTCAAGTGGCTTTTAAGTTCGATTCTTATTGTGGATTGAGGGTATGGCGCTGTATTGTTCTAAAAAGTGATGCGATTAGAGGTATTCTTCAAATTCAAAGGTGAAGTTGGAGGTTGTATCTACAGCCATTATTAGAATACAGGTTTTCAAGCTGCTAAAACATCTGCAATCAAATCATTGAGTTTTTATGTCATGCTGGGGGAACATTCTAACCAAAGCAATGTCATCTCTGTGGCAGCGTATGGTGACAAACCCCAACAGAAAAGTTTTACAATTAATCTAAATGTTGTTTCAATCAAAAAAATATAGACATGAGTGTATACTGATAATGTACTGTCCTTGAGTATGTTAAACCAGGAATGTAGCAGCCGCTGTAATGCTCAATTTATATGGGTTACTCAATTATCCCTTGGCTTGAGAATGGTGGCATTAGCATAGACCTCTTATAGCCCTGGAAGTGTGCCAACTGTTATTCAGGGTAAAGCTGTTTGTTTGGTCCTGGCCATATTTAGTCACAGTGCTGCTTCAATTGGCTATTTAAACAACATGATTGGATGAACGGTGGTATTGTCTGAGCTGTAAGGACAGGATGTCAGGTGTTCTTACTGTGAGGCCACATTGAGAAATAACCTGTAAACCACAAAGCAATGGTGATAGTGGCTGTGCTTCTATTGATAGCCTGTAGCCGAGCCGTGTGTTAGGCTGTTCTAAATGGATTTAGTGGAGTTTAAAGTAACAAGTTCAAAGGTTTCGGCTGACCAGAAAAGGAGCCAATGGTGATACTTAAGCAATATTCAATTGGAAGCCAAGATAAACCTACATTTGAGACATTTTATAAAAATAAAAGAAACATTTTAAAATTTTAAATGTAATAATTAATTTATTAGTCTTCCAAGCTTTGTGAAAAATGCCTGGTATCAGTATTATTGGTACTCAAAAAAATAATCATTGTGATATCAGGAATTCCATAATTTCTTCCACATGACAATTGTATTTGTATTTTAAAATACATTTAAGAATCCTTTAATGTAAAATGTTTCATGACTGCTACGGTTGCCTCTTGGCCGTGGCATTCTGCGTATCCATTTTAATTGTGTGATATGTAATATGAGAGGCCTTATCTGATTTGGTGGCACTGGGGGGGTATCTAGTTTCAGCCACTCGTACCCACCTCCGGGAGCTAGGGGGGCCTGCGGATGTGTTACCATGGATACGAGGATGAAGGGGGGGAAGGGGGGGGGTTGAAGTTGGTGATGAGATTACACTAAAGTGCTGATGGGAAGAGGAAAAAGAATAAAGAAGTGTTAGTGGGGGTGGGTGCATCAAAACAGGCAGGGCTGAAACTTGAGCACTTATGATTACACCTGATTACACCTGATTACACCTGATTATGTGTTAAGTTGAACAAAGTGGTCAGAACATGACGTTTCCTCAATTAAGGGGACGTGGGAAGGGCTCTCAAGGTCAGAAGTGACAAGGTGAAGCTTATTGCTGTAGTCACAGTTTGACCAGTTCATTAATGTCACTAGAACAGGTATAGCTTTCTGGATGAAAGGAATACTGTGCATGATGTTGGATTGGAGTAGTAACTACTGCCACAACATATGGCAAGGGTAAGTTGTTGAAACAGTGAATGATGTTGCTCCACAAACTTGTTTGCAGATAATAAGATCGTGATTTCAATTAATCTATCAGTCTTAAGACTTAAATCATAACTCTTCTTCCTTAAAACTTTTGAATTGAACAGATCCTGATCATAGTTTGTATTATGACTGTTCCAGGATTGTAACAAAAGTGTACTAATTGCTTGTCCCTAATTTTGATTGAACCTCAAAAACCTTGAAAACACACACACTTGATGTTTGATAACAGCTGTTGTTTCATAATGTATAATTACATGATTAACTGTTAATTCTGTGTTATTCTTGTCATCAGACGGAGATTGCTAAAAGACTCAACACCATCTGTGCACAAGTCATTCCTTTCCTATCACAGGATGTAAGTGCTACACCTTTATCACTTAGCACATTTGTTTTGACTTTCTTTTTGACTATTGCGTTTCACAATTGTTATTGTAATATTTTGGGTTTCAAGTGGACAAATTAAACCTGGACTATAACTGAAATAGAGGGGAAGAGTAAAAACTACCTCCCATTGTAATAGTAGAAATGTCATGCTTCTCGATTTTCCTATACGTCAGAAACAACATGCAAAACAACTTACTGCTATGAAAAAATAGTTGATAAATAAATGTAGTTGCTCAGTGATCAAAACGTGTTTTTGTTCGGTGTGTGCTTAGTGATCTGATACTTGTACCTGCAATCTCCCTTCATAATTTGTGATATCCTCAATTTGATGTTCCACGGTGTCATCTTGAGCTTAACACAATATGTGGTATCGAGTCAAGTATTCGCAACACCTATGTGATAGAGTATCAGTTTTGGATTGGGGACCAAAAAGATACGAGCTTGTCAAAGTTGACCTTGATCATTCTCTTCCAGCACCAGCAGCAGGTGGTTCAGGCCGTGGAGAGGGCAAAACAGGTGACCATGGCCGAGCTCAATGCAGTAATTGGGGTACGCGGATTGCCAGGCCTTCCTCCAACGGTGTGTATTCCTTGAATTACTTTTTCACTTTTGCACATACAATTTCTATTAAGATAAGGTATACCTTTTTGATCCCACAATGGAGAAATTTACACTTCACATTTGGCATAGATAATATCACTCAGGTTTTACAAAAAGAGAGGCATTCAAAAATGTTTAAGGTTAAAAATATAGTCTCTTTTGTGCAGGATATATTATGTATAATAGAAAGTGCAGGATGTTTTCAGTCATTGGGCAGGTCATTCGTGATTTAAAGTGAATTATCGTACAATTTGACAGCAGTGGCAATGAAGGCCCCACAGTAGTGCTCCTTGTACTGAGGGTGCCTCGGTCCTCCTCCTCAGTCCTTTCCAGTGGGTGGGAGTGTTGTCCATGATGGAGCTGACTTTGACCAGCACCTTCCTGTTCCTGTCCCAGGGAGCAGCCCAGAGCAGAGCTGGCCCTCCTGATCAGCTTCTTCAGTCTATTCCTGTACCCGCTCTGTGCTGCCAGGGGCCCAGCATGCTCCAGCATGCTCCAGCGTAGTGTATGGCAGAAGCTACCACAGAGGCATAGAAAGTCCTGAGCAGAGGCCTGCTCACTCTGCAGCCTCCTCAGAAGGTGGAAGCGACTTTGGCCCTTCTTGCACACCAAGAATGTGTTATGGGACCAGTCCAGTTTATTGTTAATGTGAACACCCAGGTACTTGAAGCTGTCCACCAGCTCAATTTGGTCTTTGGTCTTTATGGTGTTGAAGCAGTGGTTGCGCTCACGCCAGTCGAGAAAATGGTAACCGACCGGTATTCCAGTTGGTTCCCCTCAGACACACAGCCCACGATGGCGGAGTTGTCGGAGAACTTCTGCAGGTGTCAAGTGGAAAGTGGAGTCTGAAGTGGAGATGGTGAAGAGAGACGGTTCCCAGAGGGGCCCCAGTACGGCAGACTACCACCTCAGACACATAGCTATGCAGCCGCGTACTGTGGGTGTGGATCTTCGATTGTAGAATACTTTAACTTCATTATTCTGTTTTTGAACGCAGCAGTAGCATCTGCAGAGCAGAGTGGAAGGGGGGCTTTGAGGGAGGACTTTCAACTCCAAGTGAACAGAGATACGAGCTTATTTAATACTTTTCCAACTGTTGACCTCCTTCCTAATATAGTTTCTTTTCTTGTGTTGGTAAAATTCAATTATGCAAATCCAGTATTATTGTGTCAAACGTTAAAGGTTTTTTGGTGTTCTTTAAAGCTGCACTAACTGACTTTATTTTTGTATTCATTACAAAAATGCTATCCATGTCCATGTAGTGCATTGGGATATACGTCCTTTTGAAGAAAAAGTAGCGCAGATTTGTGCTGGCGTGACATTATATTTTAGATCGAGTTTTGATGAAACAAGGAAGAGAATGTGTTTCGGGTCGCAGATTGTGACCAATCACAGCGCACCAATAGCCCCCACTTTCGTGAGAAATCTACAGGTCTGTTAGCATTGACGGCTGAGTTAGCACAACAAGCCGAGGAGCTAACCTGAAGCTTCCTCGTCTTCGTCACCGGTTACTGCTTACACAGCGAGACAGCCATCCAAAAGAAAGTCTCGTTCCTCGGCGCTTCCCGGTTCTATCGTTCTATGGTCACGCCATCCACGTGCAAATCCATATCCATGTATTATCCATATTGGGAGATGCTAGCTCCGTCAACAACAGTGGGTGTGTGTGGGGGGGCGATAGCTTCGTGGGTGCGGGGAGGGGAGCAGAAAGAGCGAGGCCAGCGAGTCCGCAGCTTCAAAATCCCTAAGTCAGTTAGTGCAGCTTTAATCAAGTAGTCTCCATAATAAACGTCTTGATGTCTATTGATAGGAATTGTAAAGAAAAACTTGGACCATTCAGCAGTAAGTTTGAAGGAACTTGGGAACGAAAGCTGTTAAAGTCCTGTACAGGATTTGCTTGGAGCATAGTCTGGATGCTAGTTAGTTGGCGGGAGAAAAAAAACTTAGTTGGGGGCAGCCCCGGTTTGGCAGTTTTGTGCACGTTTTAATTGCAGGATTCCAGTGTTTGTAAAAGAAAACAGAGGGTCAAAGCGGTGCCCTCCCCCTGTCTCCCACGCCAGCCTGTCATTCACCCCGTTTGTGAGTTAAATGAGTGTAATGAAGCATGGCGGCCCTACCTCGGCACACACATCACCAGCTCACACTAACCTCCCATGACAAACCGGGCTCCCCTTTTTTCCGCATCAATCCTTCCCCTCCATTTACGCCCAGCAGGAGTCGGGGCAGTGTTTTGCATCTGCTGTGTGCGTCTGTTGTGTGTGTGCGTCTGTGTGGAGCCAGGCGTCGCTGATTCGTACAAAACAACAGCAGCAGTGCGATGCTTGAGTCGGCCTGTGCCCTGGTTATGCGCCCAGGCTGTGAGCATGTCTGAGTGATCGAGTGTGACGTGTGGGTGTGTTGTCTTTGATTGCTTGGCAAACCGGCCGCTGTGTGCAAGTTTGTGTGTGCGAATGAGCATGAGGGCTCTGGGTTAAAAGACTATTTAGTTGTTTTGCTTTCATTCATAGGGGCAGGACACGGGGAATGAGGGATGGTTGAGGGAAGCATAGAGGGAGGGGCGGGTGAGGGGGGTGAGTTAGTCAATTAGGTGAGATAAAAGTGGGTTTGACCTTCAGCGCTCCACCCACCCCTGTGGAGCTGCCTCCTGTCACCCCTTCTCTCCTCTAATCTCCCCCACTCCTCCCCTCCCTGCAGCGAATCACCAAGCTCCCATTCCCGCCGCTACTGTCTGAGGAGGCAATAATGATGTTTGGGAACACAAAGACATTTCACGCTCCGACGAGCGCCTGATTTGGTGTGAAAGAGAGAGCAGGGCTGCCAGCCAATCCCCCTCCCTCCTCTGACCTGCTCCTCTCCCCTTTCTCCCTCCTCTCTCTCCCTCACTGAGCTGACAGTGGAGCAGCAGCTGGGGCTCCTCTCCCCTTCTCTCCCCTCCTCAGCACATCCTTGGTTCTGTGATCCCAGCTGTCAGTATTGTTCAGTGTTTGACCCCGGGGGGAGAGGGCTTGAGTGGAAGCACAGAGGATGTGTTCAGTGAAGTTGCTGTAAAGTTAGATGCTCAGGAAAACGACCCATCTGTTGAAGACTTGAACAGAGCTTCACTTCTACTGAAATTACAGACACTTATTGATTTACGTATTTGTGTATGTCAGGAAGCCATTATTTCTGTTCTACGCCACCATGCTTAACCCTTCAACACAGGGTTCATGCTCGAGATTTTGATTTTGTAATTTTAGAACCTACAATATTTTTAAGGGAAGACATAACAATATGAAATATACTTAGCTGCAGTAATTCTTGGGTTACAATTGGTTGTCACTTTCTTTGACTCATCTGAATTGTATCTTTGATGCAATCAAATTTTATGCCAGTTTTTGTTTTACAAAGTATAGCCAGTAATTATTTTTATCATTGAAGACAAGCTGCATGACCGCGCAAAGGCTAATTTAATTTTTTTTTGCTCTTCTTAATTTAAAACACCCGACAATTAGAATGTGAACCCAAGCGTTATGGTAGAGCTTAAGAATAAATACAAAAATAAAGCCTTAGCCCTTTGTCTGGCATAAATTGATTTTGTTAACTATATATTGCACAAATTTTTGACAAAATGACTGTAGGTCAGGAATAAATAGAAAACCGATCTAAAACTGACCTTATAAACTACAAATATAAAAGTATGTAATATAGAAAAGCCCTGGCGAGAAACCATGCTGCCACATAACTAGTTTCCATGGCCATGCAAAGGTGTACTGTGTGTGTCATTAAGGACAGGCAGAGTTGGATGTAGACTCAGACTCTCGGAGATGGAAATGTTTGTAGTAATGCCTTTTTCAACGTGGACTTGGACAGGTGCCATACCCCCCTACAAATAATTATTGAATCACAGTTAATGCTTTGCTGTTTTGCACACATGTTACAAATGTCTGTCTTGTTTATTTGAATCAGACATGGTTTACAAAACAAAGCGTGCAGTTGATGTGCATACAGAGATCCCTGATTTTGCTTTGTGCACAAGATTTTGTGTAACGTAACCCCTGTTCTAATGTGTTTCTCTGCAGCAGCACCTTTCCCATAACCACGGTGGTGCCCCTGTCCCGCTGACGCCCCACCCAGCAGGCCTTCATCCCTCTCAGCTCAGCGGCTCTGCAGGGCTCCTGGCTCTGTCCGGAGCCCTTGGAGGGGTCCCTCCCCACCTGATGGGCAAAGATGGCGCTGACAAGAAACCCCCTCACCTGGGCGGCCCCGACTCGCATCCTGGCGGCCCGGAGCACTTACGAGGTACATAGTGTGCACTTTGAGAAAGCAAATGGAAATTGGACAAGGTAAGAAAAAAAGGTAGAAGGTGTGCGTAATTTTGAAAAAAAAATCCTGCATAGTTTTACTTAAGATACATTTTTATCGTTAGGTGAGGCAACAGTATCTAGCAATTCGTCATGCCAAACTGCAAAATTATGTGAATAATTAGATTTACTTCAATATGTATTTTTTTTTTCTCCCCATGTCTTTTTGCTGGCTATCCAAACCTTTCTTATGGCATCAGACAGAGAGCCTGGCACAGTAAGTATTGCACTTCTCAAGGGTGTAATAATCTGTCAATCAACTCCTCTTCCCTATCACACAACTGTTGGGTCAAATGAACCCTTTTTTTCATTTGCCTTCATTTATTATACAGTAGGGGTGGGAAACTCCAGGTACCTCACGATACGATACGCGATACAAAGCTCACAATAACGATTATATCACGATATGACAATTATCAATATATTAGTCAGAAATATACCATATGCCAATTTATGGCATAAATAAAAGAAAAATTAAGTGAAAAAAAAACACTTTATTTAATGATAAATGGAATGGAGATGCCTAATGTAGTCATATATTGAGTATTGATACTAATTTTTAAAAAAATAATATCGATCGCGGGAGAAAGTATCACGATATATCGTTAGATTGATATATCTTATTATACAGAGGAATTTACTATCGTAATGAGGTTTGGTTTGATACATCACTATTGCTACATGCTTATCTACTTTGATGACCATGATTTTGATGATGAGTGTACTCCTAAACACCCTCCTGTATTTTGACTTGTCAAATGTTTTCATGCGGGTTTGGGGACGTCCATAGGGACAGCTTAAGCCTGGGCGTCTCTCCAAGCTCTCTACCCCCTTGTCTCCTCTGAGCTGTTAGCTTGGCTCCCTTCTCCAAATGGGGCTTTTTAGCACGGTCACACTTCCACACAGGCTCTGTTCGGGCCCCAGTCTGCATTGTTGTGCCTATTTAACACCTCAGTGAGCAGATTACCCCCTCTCTCTCCCTTCTACTTCTGATCCCATGCTTAAAGACTCATTGTTCTTAATATCACCAGCGCACAGAGGGAGGGGGCTTTGGAAATGGCAGGGGAAAGAGGAGGGGTTGGAGGGGGCAGCAGTCATATGACACCAGGCTTGTACAAGTCAGAAAACAAAGTGACATGTAAGAAGGAGGAAGGGAAATTCTTCATGTTTGCAAGTTGAATTTACATCCCCGATGAGAGAAAGAAAACTAAAAATGAACATCCATCAAAAATGAAATTACTTTATGGAAACACATATACAAAGATGTTTTAAATTCATAATATAGGAATTTGTAATCTAATCTCAATGTCGTTACCAACCATAACAAATCTGTTATGTTTATTATGCAAAGGGTTTATCCTAAAAATACTGAACCCACATAGCCAGCATTAGTATCGGGCGAGCAGTTTGATTCCCCCTCAGACTCTGAGAAATACAGTTAGAAAGGCTTAATCTACCTATAAGCTTAGTCTTCTTAAGGCCCACATGTAGCTAAAGACGAGCGAGGAGGGGAGGGAGAGAGGGAGAAATTGCTTATGTTTTGCGGCTCAGTGCTCAGCTCACTAAAGCCTTTTTGAACGTTGGGGGTGAAGGAGGAAGACTGGAGGAGAATGCAGATCTACTCTCCCCTTTTCTATACACTCCTCTTTCCTTTTTCTCCTCTGCTCGTCTTTCAGTTCCTCCTTGATTTACCTTGTAACCCCTTTTCGTGCTAAAAACATTGTTATGTGTTTGCTTATGTTGGATGCACATTTCATTGACAGGCTGGGGGCTGTAATGGACTAGACATGAAGCTGTAATCCATTAACAATAGGATGTGTTGGTCAGGAGGCCAAAAGGAGTGGGGGGTTGTGGTCTGGGTATTTATTACGCTGACCAACTGCTTTTAGACACTTGTGGGGACTTGAAGCTATTGAGCAACTCTGAGGTCAGATCTAAATTATAGTTGATAGTAAATCAAATGGCTGGTAAAGAGGTGCTAGATTTGGATGAGTTGTTGCTGATCCAGGACACATGTTGCTGTTAAAGATTTTTTGTTCTAAGCTTAAAATACTAGAGCATTATTTGTGGATATAAAACCACTCTGTGTCTGCTGGTCACTTCAGTCAGTTTACATCGGGGCTCTCCAACCTGTGGCTCGGGAGATACAGTAGCTTGCCACTTCCTTTCACAAAGCTTTCCAAAGGTATAAATGTTTTCTTATGTGCAGTACAATGCTATGTTTTGCAACTGATTTCCATATTTTTAAAATTGTTATATTATGGACCACCTTACAGCAAAAGGTAGTAGCTCTCTGCCATTTATCTATTGTAAAAGTTGCCCTCAGATTAAAAAAAAACATTGGAGATGTCTGGTTCACATGAAGAAGATGACAAAGTCTGGGATCGCGTCTTTAATTCAGACAGAAGACATGTTTTATTGTCGATGGTAGAGACAGCACGAACAAAGCACACGAACACAGATACAACAGAATGCAAGTGTATTATACAGAGCGGAGGCATGGAGACCTCCAATCAGCAGCTGCCACAGTGCCAGCAGAAATAGTCAAAACATGAAGTGGAAAGGCTTCTGCACATTGATAGAATGATGAGTTTAACTTTAACAAAAATTGCTTAAAAGTGTTATGAAATCTCACATTCCCCCTCTGGTCACACATTCACGTGTGACCATCAGGATCGATAAACAGCACCATAACATCATAACTCAATACTTAAACTCGGAATACTTCAAAACTCAGAAAACATGTTCAGATCTTTCATAAAACTTGTCAACAATCTTCAGTAAAATACCAAACTTCATCAGTCGATGGTGGTTCCAGATATTGCTTTGAAAACAGTCTCTTCCACTTCTCCGTGTTGATTTCTTCAGGCTGCTTTTGTGTGTCAAGCCAAGAATTCTTCTGTGACGTGTCTTTCAATCACACGTTTCAGCTTTAGTGTCCAGATTCAGCAATTCAATTCAGTCCAAATGATGTCCAAATTCAGAAATCCAATTGTTCCAAATCATGTCCAAATTGTGTAATCCAATTGTTGGAGATGTCTGGTTCACATGAAGAAGATGACAAAGTCTGGGATTGCGTCTTTAATTCAGACAGAAGACATGTTTTATTGTCGATGGTAGAGACAGCACGAACAAAGCACACGAACACAGATACAACAGAATGCTAGTGTATTATACAGAGCGGAGGCAAGTGTAAGCTGTCCCTATGGACGTCCCCAAACCCGCATGAAAACATTTGACAAGTCAAAATACAGGAGGGTGTTTAGGAGTACACTCATCATCAAAATCATGGTCATCAAAGTAGATAAGCATGTAGCAATAGTGATGTATCAAACCAAAACTCATTACGATAGTAAATTCCTCTGTATAATAAGAGTGTGACGATATATCAATATAACGATATATCGTGATACTTTCTCCCGCGATCGATATTATTTTTTTTAATTAGTATCAATACTCAATATATGACTACATTAGGCATCTCCATTCCATTTATCATGAAATAAAGTGTATTTTTCACTTAATTTTTCTTTTATTTATGCCATAAATTGGCATATGGTATATTTCTGACTAATATATTGATAATTATCATATCGTGATATAATCGTTATTGTGAGCTTTGTATCGCGTATCGTATCATGAGGTATCCGGAGTTTCCCACCCCTACTGTATAATAAATGAGCGGAGGCAAGTGTATTATACAGAGCGGAGGCAAAGTGTTATGAAATCTCACACACAAAAAAACTGATCAGTTAACGTGAGGAGATGAGACTGTTTGCCCAAATAGAGCAGGCCAGCTGATCAGGCCAAGAGGAAAGCACTGGTATTAGAAGAGCCACTTAACTGTAATCATCAACTCCTGCTACGTGGGATGTAACTGCCTTTGGTCAAGTGACAAAACAGTACAATTGCTGTTGGCAAAGATACATTTCAGTTTCTCTGAATGAATAGCCTCTCTTCTCATAAGATTGATACTTAATGAAATGCAGTAATGAGAGCTCAGCAGTTTTAAGATTTCTGAACCTCCTGCTGTCTCAATGAGCTCTATGCAAACACATTGAATATGGCATTTAGCGCTGCAGAAACTACTAACAAAAATAGTGTAACTTTTAGCCTGGCCTTAGCCATCCGTACACTCCGCTCAATCATCATTTCACTGCATGTAACGTCTGGGTCTGGTCACTGTGTTAGCGATTTACAATTCGGGCGTTCTGCTCTCCCAAAATTTCATCCACTGAGCGGCGCTGTGATCAAAAAATGACACCGTTTGTTGCCCAGTTCACTTCCGGTTGATTTCATACAATGGCGAATATGGCTCACGAAAACAACAAACGATTGACAGTGCCTGAATTGCGTGAAAGGTTGAAGCGAAAGGGTATTTGCAGTGTGGGAAAACGAAAGGAGGAATTGTTGTTGCTAGTTCAACGAGCGGATGGTGTTTATGAAGATTTAGAAGAAGATGACAGCGAGCAGAGTGAACGAAAACGGCTGTGTGTGCGAGTGACAGATGGTAACAATGAGAATGAAGTTCAGCTAAGAGGGAAGAATGTGAATTGGACGGATGATTTGCGCGATATGCCACTAGTTAGAGACGGGAATGTATTTGCATACAGAAAATGACGAAAACACTCAACCATTTAGAGAAAATGCGCCGGGCAGAGAGAACCGGAAGTTGCGAAGGCAAGTGTTACCCATAATGCAACGCAAAATTCAGTCGCTCCCCCGCCCATCGGATGGAATTTTGGGAGAGCAGAACGCCCGAATTGGTTGAATTCCATCCGACCACTCAGCAAGCGCATGAGGTGGGTGTTGTAGTTAGTTGTGGATGACGTCAAGAGTTTGCATCCAACGGGCAGGTTGAAGTTTGGTAATGGCAAAAAATCCAATTGTAAAGTAATCCGGTCTGTTTTTATCAAGAAATTGAAGCCGGAGCAAGAGGAAAGTTTAGCAAATGTAATCGCTGACAAAAATTGTGGCGCTACTTCCTACGGGCTCCGTTAGTGGCAAAGGAGATGGCTAGGCTAAATGTGAAATGCTAACGACTCACGCGGGCGCATTACATACGTGACGGTAAACTCAGATCCAAACGTTTCAATCTGCAAAAGGAGTTTAGCCTTCCCACCTGTTAACGGAGCTCAATGGAGCACCTCCAGACCTTAGAACAAAATGTAATTTGTACGATGGTGTGGTACGACCAGGCTATGTCACTTCTTTTTCAAATTGATTCATCAAAAACATGTGTTTAGTTCAGGGATTAAAGAGTTCCGTCTAGGTGACGGATTTCCGTCAAATGAAATTGGTCTGGGAAAAAAAAAATATATATATATATATATAATGATAATAATACACACAATGAAATGATTGATTATAAAAATAATATATAGTAATACATATACGTGTGAATCTGTTATATATATATATATATATAATTGTATTTATATGTATATAGAAATAATAAGTAATATAATCACGAGTGGGCCTTGAACGTGCCGTGGCCACATGAGCGCTCCGCAAATGAATCAAGGCAATGGGACGTAGCTGAGCTCACGCGCAAATGAAGACGCGATGAAGTTAGCATTGGTAACACGGAGGTGAAAGTTTCTGGAAACTGCACGGAGCTTTTGAAAAGGAGAAGAGGAGGAAAATTGAATCTCGAACGGAGCAATAACAGCAGCAGATCCGCGGACTGGTAAGCTGGGCGCGTAATAGACGAAAGGTTATTAACGTTTACCAAACGCAATGCTATTTTACTTAACGGAATGTACAAAACGGACTTTGCTGCAACTGGGAATGGGGACAAACATGTCTTGGTGAGCTTTTGATATTGTCTTGTTTGCGATCTTCTTGCAAAACTCAGCGTGATGTAAAAGAGCCAATCAACGAGTCATGGTGCGAAAAGATGAAAGTGGCCGGTGCTTGTGCGTACTTTGCCATAAAAAATTGCATGTATGGGAGTAATGAGAAAAAAGTTTTGATTCGCCACCAGCTCAAAACTGCGCACAAGGCAGCTGTTTGTGCACTTTCCCACACTTCATCTTTACCTGGTGCATCAGCAACAACTGACACACTAGGCTTGCTATGGCAGACCGTGTCTGTGGCTTTATCGCAGAAAATAACGTTCAGAATATCACTACCGCTGGTAGATTTATTTAAATCATTTGCAGTTGATCGAAGTGCACTGTGCACTCAAACTTGATAGGGAAACCTTTTTCTTAAATATTGACGTGTCCACAAACAAATGTGGACAGAATTTTATCGTTCTTTTGCAATATTTTGACGAGGACAGAGCCAAAGTGTTGACGCTCCATATCGCCTCAAGTAAAGCTACTCTCACTAATATTCTGTCAAAAAGTTTACTCGTTGCTTGATCCACTTATATTTCATATCAAAATACACTGTATATCTTTGAAGAATTCATTTGAGCTGTATTCAATATACAATCTATTATACAATAATATATTGTAATTACAAATATAACTTAGTCCTGCATATTACTGTGATTTACATGTGATAAATTTCCATGCGAAAATTTTCAGTCAAATCTTTTTTTTTTTGCTTTAACCCCTGGTTTAGTTCCATTATTTCCATCACTTACTTATGCATAAACCCTTAGTAATTGAGCGTGTCAATTGATGCAATGGCTATAAGCATCTTCTGTGTCTAAATGCAGCAACAATCTTAAATGTTTTAGTTTAAATGCATGGTATAAAACATTTTTATCTAAATATGTTGTATATTTTTAATTTTTCCTCTTTAGAGCAACTCGATGCTTCCTGAAAGTCTACGAAACTCAGACAAGCGGCGAAATGGACCAGAGTTCCCCAACGACACCAAAAAACGAAAGGTGGAAGACAAAGACTCCAGTCACTATGTAAGTTTAACTGTACTGTTTTTATAATTCAAACACTTCTATCAACTAACTATTTAGCTTTTTCTACTTTTCTTCACAGGATAGTGATGGGGACAAAAGTGATGATAACCTAGTCGTAGATGTTTCAAATGAGGTTGGTATTTTGTAATTTAGCTGTATGTATTATTACTGACAGGTATAAGCTTAATCACCTGTTTGTGTGTCCAGGACCCCGCCTCTCCTCGTGGTACACCCCTCCCCTCTCCGCGAGAGAATGGCCTTGATAAAGCTCGTCTATTGAAGAAGGATCCATGCAGTCCTGCTTCCACAGCATCATCGGCGAGCTCCTCCTCCCTCAAGTCCAAAGAGATTGCCATGGTACTAAACAATGACTATGCAAAACTCTATTTCAATAAAAAACCAAGGATATGAGATCCCCAGTGCATGAAAAAGAACAATTCATAACATTTCTTTATAGAGGGTACATCACTTGACTCAATGAAAATTAAGCTTTACCTCACATCTTCCACCGGATCACTTAAATTCTATCTACATTCTTCCAGGCCAAGTTTAAAATTAAGAGGAGATTAGCCTATTACTGAGCCTAGTACTTGAGTACTTCTCAAACTATTTTGCAGTTGCAATATATATTTATATTGATTTACGAGTCTATCCTACTCTAACATGTGAGACCAAAGTAAAACTAGCAAACGTGCAATAAATATCAAAACAATTTCCCACAGCGAGAGAAGGCAGGGACACCAGGACTGAAGTCCAGCACGCCCACTCCCAGAGGAGACTCTACCCCAGGACCAAGCACCACTCCTGGGATCAGACCCAGCCTTGTCAAACCCCCTTCCATGGAGCTCCCACATCCACCTGGTAAGAACAGAGCTGTTGATCTAAAACTATATATATTTTTCACATCCACAGGCAAACTATTACTAGTGGGTCCTTGCAGAACAGTCAACGTTGTAAATGTGCAAAAAAATGGTTTTCAAATACCAATGACCACTCACACGTGTCAGTCAATAGATGAACATCAGAGTGGCTCCTCTCACTCTGATGCAGGGATACTTTGTGCTTCATGAATCATATTTGATACCTTCCATGTATAATCATATTTATTGTTATATTTTTACATATTGTTATATCATAATATTATGTATAATATTTTTTAATGAATAAATACACCACTTCAACACACGTCATCAAACAATTTCTGTTTCTAGGTGCGGGTTTGAGGACTCCCCTGGCTGTACCTGGCCCATACCCTGGTGCATTTGGGATGCTGCCTCATGCAGCTGGGATGAACGGGGAGCTGGCTGGAGCTGCTGGAGCTGCTGCGTACGCTGCTGGACTCCACAACATGTCCCCCCAGATGAGTGCGGCTGCTGCGGCTGCTGTGGCTGCATACGGACGCTCCCCCATGGTCAGTCCTACGCTTTCACTAACGAGTCAAATAAGGGCTGCGTGAACAAGATGGTCTAAGTGACAGAATATATGTGCTTTTGAAAATGGGAACTTCCTACAATGTATTTGATATAGTGATCTTTTATATGAAAATACATATTATAAAGTTTTGTTAAATTATATGTAAAATAAAAAATGCATACTTGAGGGTGTGGATTACAGAAGAGCTACAAGAATATTCTCAAACATGGTGTTTTCAGTTATTTATATTTTTTCCCCCAGTATTAAAGGGCAATTTGAAATTTCAAAGATTCAATACACAGCATGTTTTTTAAAAGTGGTGACATTTATTACTTGAAAAATTCTTGATTCTTAAGTGGCTGGTAGTATTATATGTGAGGGGAATATCTTGTTATGTTTCTGAACAGTGGTTTTACGTCTCTCTTCATCACCTCGTCTCTCCTCGGTGTTTGCACAGCGTCATTAAAGTGTTTTAAACGACTGCAGAGGTGTTTGCAGAGTCGGCTGTGTGTGTTTGCCCTCTCTGCTCTCTCACACTCAGCTCTTCTGTTTGTCCTCTGAGTGCTGCAGTCAGGAGATGCTGAAGACCTGTGTCTTTGCTCAGAGTTGGCCCCTCAGCTGTTCTCATTGACCCATTTGTAATTGCATTTAAAATCAGCTTTACCGGTCAGAATTAGACCAAAGTGCATGTAATCATAAAGTATGTTGTCCAGTTGTCAGGAAGTGCACTGTGGACATGCTAGTTGTTGAAAGTACTGGCATGATTAGGGATGTAAAAAACTATGAATTTTCATGACCGACCACCGAGCCTCATTAACCGGTTGAAACCGGTTAACCGCGTAAAATAGTCCACGTTCTTTGAAATAACAGGCATTTCGAGCCGCGTACTTTTCATAAGTGCAGCTGAGCGTTCTACGGGATCAGAGCCGAGACAGCGGCGCCAAAACCCACAACAGCTCCGGCACCTTTGCGCACAGAGAACTGCTTTTTTAATCTTCCCATTCTGCTGTGCTGCGGGTTAATACCAAAACTTTCTAGCAGCAAACGACGGCTCGTTCACATGGTCAGAGCAGCGAGTGACGAGCCGCGTCTCACAGGTCTTCACAAAAGTTTAAATACAAGTGATGTGTGTGTGGAGCTGATCCCGAGGACCATAAACACAAACATCTTCCATATGGTTTGACTGGAGCCGCGTATTTGCGCGAATCCTTTGGGCTCTGTGACACAGAGGAGCGCGACAGACCGGTATATGTGTGTGTGTGTAAATGTAAGCTCCAATGTAGTTCTGACCCGTGCCAGTGTGCAACTTTGACGGTAACAGAGGGGAGAGATGATGCGTGTGGATGTTACGTGTGGAGAGGGGGAACGTGTGTGTGTGTGTGTGTGTGTGTGTGTGTGTGTGTGCGCATATGTGGCTCGTGCGGCGTGAGAGTCGTCCCGGAGTTTATAATACATGGGCGCACACAGCTAGATACAGACCCGCTCGTCACACCGTGCAAATAGGGCTTAAAATAGCGTTATTAAGAGACCTCCCCTCTCCCCTTTTTCTCTTTTTTTAACCGACAGCTTTGACCGGTTAACGCTGTGACGGTCAACCACCGGTTAAACGGTCGCCGATTTACATCCCTAGGCATGATGATATGTAAAAAGTCTGGATCACTGCAAAATATTAATTTGCTAAAACGGGTAGTGACGTTTATAAAACATCTTAAGGTATCTTAACTAATTCACTGCCGTTGACATCTATCGAGGTCAATCTATATCCCAACGTTGCCTGCCAATGATGTCTATAGACATCAATGTTTTTTTTTTGCATTAAGTTACCCATGTTATACTCTCAATTGCTAAAAAACTAAAAGGGGTAGCAACTTACTTTTTTTTAATGAAAGGCAAGAGACAGAGCTTTCATTTGGTATGTGTCATACTTGTGTCAACCAAGGGCTCACATTTATATGAAGTTTGGAAAAACACTATAAGTATCCAAAATCTCTGGCAGTATGAGGGATGCTTCTTTATATATGGCTGGCAGTGAGTGAGTTAATAAATAAATACATCTAAAGAGAACGTGTGATCAACATGCCGATGTGTGCTTATTGTGCTCAACTGTTTCTCAGGTGGGCTTTGATCCCCATTCACACATGAGAGGGATGCCCCCCAGTCTGACCGGGATCCCCGGAGGAAAACCGTGAGTATATAAATTAGATAGATTTCATGATTTTTGTTTCATATTTTTCTTGCACTAATTCAGAATCTTTACCCTGCAGTGCTTACTCATTCCATGTGGCTGCAGATGGACAGATGCAACCAGTACCCTTCCCTCCAGACGCGTTAGTTGGCCCCGGCATCCCTCGCCACGCTCGGCAGATCAACACTCTGAACCACGGCGAGGTTGTGTGTGCGGTGACCATCAGTAACCCCACTCGACACGTGTACACCGGAGGAAAGGGCTGCGTCAAAGTGTGGGACATCAGCCACCCGGGCAACAAGAGCCCTGTGTCCCAACTCGACTGCCTGGTGAGTAAAAGACAGAGTAGGGAAATCATAGGGCCCGTCCCAATTCTGAGGGCACTCGTTTTGTGAGTGCACTCTTCAACAGAAGAAGAGTTTAAGAGTGCCCTCACGATGGGAGTGCACTCGCAGGATATTCTCCCTAAGAAATGGGACACCCTTTGGATCTCGGGGACATTATGAAAATCGACGGAGCAAACGTGTTCCGCGTCACACACATTATCAATGTGTCTGATTTCACCACAGATAAGATCGGACACAGATATGACTTCATGAAACAAAGTATTTATTAAAGTGAGACGTTTTTAATTGTTTCATATGAAGATAATTAGCCACAATTATGTACAGGACTGCTCCGTATCGCACGCACACACGCGCACAGATGAGTACAGCTGCGGATCACAAAGCTCCTGTCAAAGCGTTGCAGTCTCTGAACTACATCATGGATCTATAATGATAACATGGATCCACGTCTCTGAAGCATCAGTGAACGCCACACGCTGCGGCCGCTTCACGAGCGAACATCACCACACGCGGCACCAACACACGCTTTATAAAAATCTCTCCTGAATGACACACGATTCGAAGCTTCCTTACGTTCTGCACAAACTGTTGTTTCATGTTGTTTTCTTTCATTGTCGCTCGACTTTGCCTGACAGCTACTTTACCAACAACTATTGTAATGCATTATGGGATAAGCTCTCGAGCTCACTTGCGCGCGAGGGTGGTTTATAAGGGTGTGAGGGCCCTTGCCTCTTCTCCCTAAGTTTTGGGACATTCTACAACCCCTGCAGGCAAGCGCAAAATCTAGGGCAAGGGTGCTTTTTAATAGCCTGACTCTCGCCAGACCCATGTAGTTCGCTGCACTTCACACATGAGTCTGGGACTGAGCTATAGTGGTTGGATTTCAGAAGGCAGGGCCTTGTAAAAAAAAAATCCTTGTATGTGATTGGATAGACCACTTGTCCGTTATCTTGAATGACGTCTGCTTTCAACCACTCACATCAAAGCACACGACTCCCATAGGTTGCCAAATCCCAGCAAAATTTTCCAACCCAAAATCCATGAGAATTCCCACAAAAAAAAACTCAATGATTTTTTGGGCTAAAAACTTAATCAACTTGGGCTATCATGATTCTATTTATTGTCTTCCTGTTTATTTATTACCTACAAGTCTCTTGGAAAAAAGTATGCAGGAAACCACCCAACCTGGCAACCCCGCTGCATAGTGTGTAAACAGGAACACTGAACCAGTGCTTTATAGGAACATTTGACTCTTAAAACACACATATAACAACATAGAACCATCAACATCTTGCCTCAAATTGCATTAAAAGTGACATCCGTGTCTTATTTCGTTCATATTTTAAAAGATTCGCGTTCTTTACGTCCGCCATCTTGGATTTCTTTCGCTGCTGCGTGAGAGAAGCTTGAAGGCAGTGCAAATCCCACGTAACACCGGCGATCCTGATTGGTCGATTATTTTCTGATCTGCTGAAGGCGTTTGCTATGCGCTTGATACCAGACCCTTGTGTGTGTGAAGCCAAACGCCTCTGGTGGAGCATGGCGGAACTACAAGGGTCTGGCAGAGCCAGGCTAGCTTTTTAAGGGCAAGGGTGAGAATTGGGATGGGCCTATACTGTTACCAGGTCTGCACTATCATCGCCGATAGTATTGCAAATCAGATAATGCGCAATCCTGAAATTAGCATTAAAACTAGATAGATATTGCAAAAATTGGCTTAAATGATTATCTATTTTTGTGCTACCTAATTATTCAATAACATATTTAATTGTCACTTTGAGAAACGTGAGTCAGGCACTATGTTCAAGTTTCCTCTGTTCCCACATTGTTGTGCTTTTGTCGGATACAGTCAATGGGTGCTCAATGCTTTGTGATTCCTTATTCTTACTATTTTTCTTAGCCTAATTAAGTATTGTGAAAAATCAAGATATTGCAGTATGTTTCAATCAGTTTTGTTTTTGCCTCATCAGAATCGTGACAACTATATCCGCTCCTGCCGCCTGCTCCCTGACGGCCGAACGCTGATCGTTGGAGGTGAGGCGAGCACCTTGTCCATATGGGACCTGGCCACACCCACTCCTCGGATAAAGGCAGAGCTTACCTCATCTGCACCGGCGTGTTATGCGTTGGCGATTAGCCCCGACTCCAAAGTGTGTTTCTCTTGCTGCAGCGACGGTAACATTGCTGTGTGGGACCTCCACAACCAGACACTGGTCAGGTACGGACGGCTGCTGACTTTTATTATGCTTTTGGTTGTTTAGGGAGATGTTTGTACCAATTATTGGTTGTTTCTCACCACTTCAGTCAATCTTTGTGCTCAGCAACAATCACGGGTCCCACCACACATGCGCAGTTGATTGCAGTCTGTTTATCTTTACTAGATCACTTAGCACTAATTTAGTGTTTTTATTTATTCTTTATAGCTGTATTTACTTTAAAACGAAGAAAGGTTGCTCACCCATCATCTGTACTTCAGTAAGCAGGTTTTCCTGGGCTTTTGTTCTTATCCATAGAACTTTTTCAAGGGAATGGAAGCTCAGCCGGAGTTGGAGATTAATAACCTGTGGGTGTGGTTTCCATTCCCTTGAAAAAGTTCTTTGGATAAGAACGATACGTCTGTACCTGAAGTACAGATGGGTGAGCCACCATCCTTTGTTTTGACTAATCCCTGTATGACTGTATGACTTGTATTACTTGTTGTTACCATAATGCCAAAGCAAATTCCTAATTTGTGATTTTTTATTCACTGACAAAGAAAACTCTGATTCTCACTGTATAGTGCATTTAGGACACTCAAACCAGCTGTCCTCAAACATTTTGTTCAGAAATATCATATGGGAACTTTTCTGGTCACTGCTGTGATTAAATGTCTGACCATGGTGGTGTGGTTCATGCAGGCAGTTCCAGGGCCACACAGACGGGGCCAGCTGCATCGACATCTCCAACGACGGGACCAAACTGTGGACGGGAGGTTTGGACAACACTGTGCGCTCCTGGGACCTAAGAGAGGGCAGACAGCTTCAGCAGCATGACTTTACCTCACAGGTGAACACTCAAAAAACTCAAAACTATTCACTCACTGCCAATCCCTTTTCAAGTGGATGCACGCATGACACACCCAGATAAATCAATACGTTGACGCTAAAACAATAGTTTATATATATATATTAATATCATCTTGGTCACTGTCTGGATCCGCTTGGCGGAGGTCTCTTCTGAGTGCTTTACTAGTAGCACTCAATGTACCCACAGCACATGAATCATGTGTTTTTGTTTCAGATCTTCTCGCTGGGCTACTGTCCCACAGGAGAGTGGCTGGCTGTGGGGATGGAGAGCAGCAACGTGGAGGTTCTTCATGTCACAAAACCAGACAAGTACCAGCTGCACCTGCACGAGAGCTGTGTCCTGTCCCTGCAGTTTGCCTACTGTGGTGTGTGTTGCATAACGTTTGACTTTGTATTAGATTTGGACTGTTGCTTACATTTCAGTATCTAAACATTTTTATTATGATTCCAGGTAAATGGTTTGTGAGCACAGGGAAAGACAACCTACTGAATGCATGGAGAACACCCTATGGCGCCAGCATATTCCAGGTCTGTTCATTTTTTATACATTTCAGTGATGATCTGGGACATTTAGAGACCTTTATTCACATACATGTATTTACATGTATGTGAATCAATTATATAATTTATTAGAGGTGCACCGATCAGGAATTTTTTGGCCGATCATTAAAATTTTGATCTGCCGATACCGATCAAATATTGATAATATTAGTGAATGAATAGGACTGGTTATTCACTTTATAACTAATCTTTCAAAACCATCAAGGTACTAGGTAGTATAAATAAAATGCCTATAGGGGTACTCAAGACAAAAAGGTTGGGAACCTCAAGTATATGTTAGAGCATTGAGATGCATTTTAAAAAAAAAATACAATGAAATACAGCAATACTGTTTAGGTTGCATTTCTAAACTGACTAAAAAAAGATAGTGAAGGCAATGTTTTTTCTTCAGTAATATTAGCATCTCAGCATTTGGAAGGGTTTATTTATTACGTTTATCATCCTGAATAGTCCCGATGCGCTAAACAGCCGCTCACTGTCTGCACTTGTGCATGGAGCGCAGAGAAAAGCTTACGCTGTTGTGGCCAAAGGAGAGAAGCGCCTTTTATTTTCCTTCCAATAAACAAGCGGCTGTCCGCTCCGAGGCGTAACTACGTAGTTTCGCTAAGTAACGCTGCATCTGCGACACTGTAGGACTGTCTGTACTACCACTACTCATCTTAATCCAACTAGGGTTGGGCGATATGGACCACGATTTTTGTTGGTATGTATCACGATATGACGATATAATTTTAACAAAGCCTCATATAAAAGCTATAAAAACTTAGCACTGATAATTTTAAACACACTTGCCTCAAAGTGCATTTACTGATTTATTGGCAGCAAAATGTGTAATACAGCTATTGTATATAAAACGTATTAACAAAACTGAATTGTAGATAATTCTGTTTTGTACATACTGAAAATTGCAGGCAACATGTAATAAAGGTGAACATTTGTAATTTGTAAAATATATAAAAGTTTTTCCTTTGTAATATAAAAAGTGTAGCATTATCAAATAATTATTTGATCACTTTGGCTTATGTTTCCTAATCCCAATATAGTCAAAATTATCAAATACTGTATATATTTTTTGTATCCTTTTGCGTTTCTATAATTATAACTTATTTGTAATTATATTGCAATGTAGACAAACACATGCATTGAAGTAAAATGAATGACAGTAAACAGTAAATAAAGCTTACCAATGGCACTAAGAGAGAGAGAGAGCGAGTGTCCGAAGCAAGCCACTCGAGTCCAGTTGTTTAGGGCAGCTGCTTTCACAACATTAGATCCACTGTCGATAGTTACACACAATTGCTTCTTTTTATCTAGTTCCCAAACTACTCCCATATGTTTGAGGTTGCTCCGCGTTTTGGCACAATGTCTTCTACAATCTGCATGCCTTCACCATGGTCTTCACCGCCGCCCTCACCCATGTTTGCTCTCTGCTCTGTTGTTGTTGTCCCTGCACGCCGCTCTGCTACACGTGGCGCGCAGATGCGTCATCAAAGTGCGCCGCACACAAACGTGTCTTCCGCTCGCTGTTTTCAGTGTTAAATGATCGTTTTCACCGGTATAAGGCATTTTCTTATCATTTAATTTACTTATACCGGTACAAAAAAAATATCGCCCAACCCTAAATCCAACATGTCTGTAAACATAACGTGCAAAGTCCCGACACAGAATGAATTCAGCGTCTCGCTGCTGAGTGTGTTTGGTGTCTGTGCGGTGTTATTATAATAGATCCATGCTCTGGCTGGGCTTGGAGTGTCAATGTGTGAGAATATACAGTTTGGTAAAGCTGCGGCAGGCAGACATCAGTCAAATAGTTCCGTGATGGCATATTGAAGCAGTGGACATGAGTCGTTTGAACCCAGCGCTTTCCGCAACAGACAAGGGCTGGGGGCAGAGGGAAATAAATTCCATAACTTTCTTGCATATTTCGTGTTGTTTCTTATCGTCATTACTGTATGGTTGTTGCGGCTGTAGAATCTCCGTGACTGAAAGCTGCATGAGTTGCTTGTTGAAGCAATTTTGACGAGAGAAAGTAACTTGTGCGCATGAATCCTCCTGTCATCTAATCGGTCTTTTTGATCGCCACTTTTCACCGATCACGCAAATTAAGCCGTGATTGGCCGATTATAATCTGTCACCGATCGATCGGTGCACCTCTATAATTTATTATTTACTTATATTATATATAATAAAAACATATGTACGTACATTCATACATTTAAGGGTTTCCTTTTTTCACTTCCACTTTTTATTGAAATTGGAGCTGCATAAGGGCCCTGACATGTGTAACACCATTTTGAAAGCATAAATAATTTCTACAATGTTGCGTTTATGGACGAATCCCTAACCTGCTAACCTTTGCATTATTCTCTGCCTCAGTCTAAGGAGTCGTCGTCGGTGCTGAGCTGTGACATATCTGTGGACGATAAGTACATAGTCACCGGCTCAGGAGACAAGAAGGCCACTGTCTATGAAGTCATCTACTAAAGTCATTCCTCCAGTCGTACCTAGAGCTTTGCGCCAGCTTTGTGTGGACAAATGTTGACATCACCTCCGCCATCTTTGTGAGGGCAACTGCTGCTTCTGCCACTCTATAGATGGAGCACTAAGGCAAATATCCAGTGCTTGACAAAAACTGGAGTTGCTTAAATTTCTATAGACAAAGTGTAATGTGGACAGGGGGGAACTCAAGATCTGTGAAGATCTAGAGTGACCAGAAATGCTGAATATTTGTTGCCATGTTTGAATGGACGATTTGAAAAGACATTTTTGTGGACAGCCTTTTTGACCCTAGAACCTCAGCTTGCCATTGTTGCATCTCTGTCAATGTCCTGTTGAGCAGCATTGTTGTTGGAATGTGATTTATACATGGGACACACAGTAGCTTTTGGAATTAAATGAAAAGCTACTAGTTTTTACAATTACTATATCAGGTTTTTGTCTTAAATTCCTGCTTATAGAAATGCCACAAAGATATAGACACAATTTATTCTAAGAAACTGAACAGGAATAAATATCATTATATTAAATAATTACTCATGTTTAGGTTTATTTAAATGGTACCAAGCCTTGCCTATGTCTTACTAAATGGGACCAATCATTGACCCTTTAATAGTTTTGTCAGAATGTTCAATAAGTAAAAAAGTTAAGTATCATGACATAATGCCTTGAAATCCAAAATCTAAGCATTGAAAAAATAATAAATATACACAGCATTTGAGGTCTATTGTTTTTAACTCACCAGAACTAATATTGCCTCCAAATGATATTTCTGATTCAGGTCAATATTTCTGTTAGTACTTGTCTAACAAAGCCAACTTAAACAAGCAAATATCAAACTTGTTAAGAGCGCATCTCGTCAAGTATTAGATTATGTAATATACATTTGCTCGCTCCTGGTTTGGACTGGCTGGTTGCCTTTTGTAAAATTAATTTCACAAAATCATCAGGCCCAACCGGTTTCACTTAGGGGAAAAAAATCACAACATTCACTGCACTTCTCCCAAATTTATACATTGAACATGTGGTTTGAAATTTAACTGTATATAGCAATAGTCAATGCTAACCTGAAAGCTTGATTAAGCCCATTCACTTTCCTTCAAAAGTAAACGCCTTTTTTCTTACCGGCTTTCTTATTTTGGACTCGGTACTTAAGGGTTTAATGCACTATATTTTATATTCTCTTTGGCTAGTGGGAACAGGACTGCCTTGCTCCTTATTGGGCCTTTGGTTGCCAGGCAGATGCTAACCGGTAATTTTGAAATATTGGTCGATGGAACCTGTTGGCGTCTACCCTAATCGGCTTCTGGGAAAAGCCAATCGCTGTGTGTGACTTAGCTCTTCGTCTGTCCACTCCTTTACGGCCCATGGTTGCTCATAATACTTTCAGAGGCTTTTAAAATCTAATGTCAACTTCAAAATGTTAATGTCAGTAATGACCCAAATGCTGATTTTTGTTTGATTATCAAACAATCTTACTTTGAATGTATTCTGTTACTCACTTTTAAAGGGTTTATACTTCTGTAAAAAGGTCTAAATGACTTGAAATCATACATAGCTAACTTATGTCTTATAAGAATCTATTGCTGGTATTGTTTTTTCCAAAGGGGTAAGGTGGAATAACATTGTGCTTCTGTTTTATGTTGCGTGTTGGTTATTGTAAAAATGTACATATTTTTTTCTTGTTTTCATACAGGAATTGCTTTAGAAATCCAGCTTTTGTACGTCTTTTACATGAACAAATCAGGAGAACTACTAAATGGTCTTAAATGCTAGCTAATCAAATGATTGAAACGTCTAGACAATAAATGTGTTTTTGTACATCTGTGGACGCAATCTGTTTGTCAAATGAGTTTTGCAATTACTAATTTGCAAATATCTTGATGGTTGGGAGTGTGAAATCCTTGGTTAAGTCCTGTCAGTCTTAATAAATTAGCCTTTGATTATTGGGTATAGAAGATGATCAAATCAATCCAAAAAAGTACAAGGAAAAATATGAGAGTAGGTTCCAGACATTGGACATGGTCAAGATATCGTGTCTGAAGCTGCACAGGCACACATTGACTGAACAGAGCAGTGGAGACGTAGTGAGAGACACTTTCTTGACATAATTTACTTCCGTAAAGTTCATTGAGTGTCTAAAAAGATTTGAGTCACCCACCCTTGAGACTGATACATGTAATGCCATATAATACGGATAATCCAGGGTAAAACATGCATATATTTTAAAGAAAATAATATACCATACCATAGACGGAAAAATCAACTCACTGAACACTTTGTTCATGTAAAGTCCCTCTGATATGACGGAACACATCACCGCAGCTGTGCAAACCAACAGTGTTTAAACTGTGAAAATCCAATGGCTAACTCCTCTAAGCGCTAACACCACAACAAACAATCTCTCCTCTCCAATCCCAATCCGATTAATGATCCTGGACATATCACTGTACATGCATGTACTGTAAATCTATTTAGTAAATGTATTTTATAAATATGGCTTAATGTCCAGTCCTATATCTTGCCATAAGCTTTGTTATATTTAATTCGTAGGTATAGACATCTGTGTTTTAATTGTGTTAAGGCATATCACTGGTAGGAACATTGGAATTTATTTTTGCCTTACACTACCCAAAATAAACAAGTTTGGATTATTTTTATTGAAAAACAAGTCATGTCAAATAGCTTAATAATAGAAACACATCCCCTGCCCAGCAATGGATTTTAGATTCTGTCTTCAAATCATTTTAATCCATGTAGATTTGGTTTTTGCAGTGCAGTTCACATGAGAAGATTAGCTGCTAATTACAGCTCACAGTGACTGAACGAGCAGCGTTCCTTGGAGAGCCGGCTGGAAAAAATGTCTTTGGAGTCATTATTTTATATTTCTTTTCGTGCAGATTACCAAGCATTTCTCTTTTGATCGTGCTGCTGCTGCTTCTCTGCGATACACAGTCGGATTATTGTGCCTAAATCGCTCAAATCCTTAATCCTATTTATCCCCTCACCACACAAAAAGGTGCTATCCTCCCTCAGCTCAGTCTGTATACAGTGGACACATTTACACTAAATGCTACAGAAGGATTTAGGGGAATTCTCAAATGTATTTTTAGACTGAATTTGTACATGCAAATTTGACTTGCAGATATACATTTCAACAATTATTCTTATCCCGGGCATATAGCGACTATAGTAGTAGTAGTAGTAGTTTATTTGTTCAGTCACTTTTTCACAACTCAGACAATACAGATCATTTGAAAAAAATAAAGTAAAAAGTAAAGTTGACTGAAAGGGTTTAGGCTGAAGTGAAACACTTATAGAAGTCTAACCCTACTATAGCTTACTATAACCAGAACAACTAAAACAGCAACAATTAGCTTTCAGCATGGAAAAACAATAGAAAATACATATCTATATTTTTGCAGAAAAGACATGTAGGTAAATGAGGATTCATACAAATTGTTTTGATGATATAAACAATATTATAATGGTAATAATAATAATAATAATGTTGATAATTGCTTTAATATTATTTATTTATTCTAATTCTCTATATTTATTTATAACATGAATTTTAAGGACATTTTTGAAAATCTTGATGGATGTAGTTTTCTTTAGTGACTCATCCAGACCATTCCAGACAGCAACTCCTCTAACTGAGACACATCTACACTTTGCTTTGGTCCTGGCAGTGACCCTTTGGTAAATGTCAGTTCCTCTAAGATTATAATTTGATTCTCTGGTGTTGAACCTTTCCTGGATGCATTTACTATGTTTGACTAAAAGAGCATCATACAGTATATTGAACTTCCATCTGATTCCTGTTAATGCAGGCTGATCAATTTAACCTTCTATAGATACTTATTCACCGCAAGGATTCTATGGAGAGTCTTTTTCAATCAATTGAAAAGTACTTCCCAAGCCTCCTCTCAATGGCTCATACCCTTGCATCCAGGAGTCATCTGAAACTGATATTCAAGCCACCTCAGTTGGGTCCTCTCAACATGAAGGGGTAGCATCTCTTCTATGAGTTCCCTGCCATCCTACAAAAGAAAAGTTTGTTTGTCGCTTGTATACATGATCTTCCGCGGTCTATTGGATCACTACCTAAAGTTAATGACCATCGGTGCGAGTGAGAACCTAGATGGATCAATAAATGGAAAGCTTTGTCTTTCGCCTTAGCTCCCTCACTGCAGAGGATGTCTGTCAAACACTCGATCCAGCCTGAATCACAGCCTTCAGCCTGAACTTCTGTACTTAAAGAACGACCTCTCCATCCACCTTGAGAGGGGAAAGTGTCTGAAAAAGTGTCATCTGCCAACCCTCAACCTTGATCATTAAAGTTGCAGGTGTCATTCAGGTACTCTATTAGGCAAGGCAAGTTTATTTGTATAGCACAATTCATACACAAGGCAACTCAAAGTGTTGAACAAGACAAAATAGCATAAATCATCACAGTACATTAAAAAGAAAGATAAAAATATAAAATCCCTCAGTTGTATGCACAGCTAAACAGAATTGTCTTTAACCTGCTTTTAAACATTGTCAGAGAGGAGGCCTGTCTCACATCTTCAGGAAGATTGTTCCAGATTTTAGCAGCATGAATCTGAAAAGCAGCCTCCCCATGTTTAGTTCTGACTCTGGGCACTAACAGGAGTCCAGTCCCTGTGCTCCTCAGAGTCCGGGCTGGTTCATATGGGACTAACATGTCACTAATACATTTTGGTGCAAGGCCATGGAGAGACTTGTACACAAGCAGAGCTGTTTTAAAGTCTATTCTCTGAGCCACAGGAAGCCAGTGCAGAGACCTGAGGACTGGACTAATGTGGTCGTACTTCCTGGTTCTAGTCAGAACTTATTCTTATTATTCCCTTAGGACAAGAAAGTGACACCGTCGAGTCAGTTTAGTTTATAGTAAATACTTATATACTGTAAGTTAATACTTGTGCCAGCTGCACCACTTGCAATATTACTGCTCAAAAAGTCCA